CTTTTTACTAATTATGAGACAAATAGCTCAATGTCATATGGAATCCGGGAACAGAAAAACTACATTTGTTGAAAAAAAAAAAAAAAAAAAAAAAAAGGCCTGGTGAAATCCAAATCCAAATAAAATAACATTTGGAATTTAGTCAATAATCATGAAATAGTAATTGTTATCACTTTTTTTCTGAGATGGAGTTTCGCTCTTGAAACCTTGTCTCTATAACAATAATAATTTTTTTTAAAAATCCAAAATAAGATTGGGAACAGTGGCTCATGCCTGTAATCCCAGCATTTTGGGAGGCCAAGGTGGGAGGATCACTTGAACTCAGGAGTTTGAGACCAGCCTGGGAAACATGGCAAAACCCCATCTCTACTAAAAATACAAAAATTAGCTGGGTATAATGGCACTCACCTGTAGTCCCAGCTATGTGGGAGGCTGATCCCAGAGGATTGCCTGAGCCTGGGAAGCAGAGGTTGCAGTGAGCCAAGATCGCACCACTGCAGTCCAGCCTGGGTGACAGAGTGAGACCTTGTCAAAAATAATAATAATAATAATAAATAAATAAGAAACTCAAAATTGCTAACATGAAAAAAAAAAAATGGCGAATGCCTTCAGATGAGGCTCAATCCAGGAACTCAAACAACCTTCTAGAAATCTGTCCTTTTGGGCTGGGCATGGTGGTTGGTACATGCCTGCAATCCCAGCAGTGTGGGAGGCTGAGGCCAGATAATCACTTGAGCTCAGGAGTTCAAGACCAGCCTGGGCCACATAGAGAGACCCCATCTCTACAAAAAAATACAAAAATTAGCCAGGCATGGTGGTGCATGCCTATAGTTCCAGCTACTTGGGAGACTGAGGTAAGAGGATCTCTTGAGCCCAGGAGTTTGAGACCAACCTGGGCCTGGACAACATAGTAAAATGCAGTCTCTACTAAAGATCAAAAAAATTAGCCAGATGTGATGGCATGCATCTGTAGTCCCAGCCAAACGGAAGGCTGAAGTGGGGGGATCGCTTGGGCCCAGGAGGTCAAGGCTGCAGTGAGCTGTGATTGCACCACTGCACCCCAGCCTGGGCGACAGAGCAAGACCCTGTCTCAAAAAAATTATAAGAAGAAAGAAAAGAAAGGAAGAGAAGGATTTAAAAAAAAAAAAATCTGTCCCCTTCCATTTGCTGCTGTGTCAGCATCTGCTTGAGACTGCACACCTCTTGGAGTAGTCAAGAAAGTCCAGCATACCTCAACTCACACCATTCCCGGGGCCCACCCCAGCCACAGAAAACCACCTTTTCCTCCAATGGCCCAGTTCAAGTCCCAGGGCAGGCTCTCATTGGCCCACTTGGGTCACGTGGTCATCCCCCAGCCAATCCCCAGCTCTGGGAGATGGAATTATCTGATTGGCCAAGCATGGGTCACGTGATACACAATCTGTTGCCAGAAGGTGAGAGAATGGGTGGTTTTCAGCCCGTGAAGGTGGAGGGGAAGAGGCACCCTGGGGAGGCACAGCCGTGTCAAAGGCCTGGAGCCTGGGCAGAGGGGTAAGAAAGCAAGGGGTCTCTTCCAGGAATTCCGGACGGTGCCCCGGGCACTGGGTGTCTGCAGGGAACAGATTCCGAGCGTGCACAAGAAGCCGGCACAGAATGAGGACCAGGCAAGCAGCGGTCAAGGAGGGTCCAGAGTCCCGGGTCCTATGGGGCGACTCCAGCCGGGGAGGGTCCCAACTCCGCGTGGCCCTTGCTGGTGCCCAGGGACAGATGGACAGCCCCAGGGATCGAGGGGTCCAGGGATCTGTGGGGCAGGGATGGGGAGGCCCCACCCACTCCACGCAGGAGGTTGAGGTGTCCTGGGACCACGTGTCCAGGCCTGAGGGATCAGGAGAGGCCACCGGGAGTTGTGGGGACACAGAAGTCCACCAAGAGGACGCAAGATCTGCTTTGGGGCATTTCTTTTTTAAATTAAATTGAATTTCCAAAGCAGCTTTACTGAGGTATAATTGAAGAAATGTACATATGCAATGTTTGCTTTTTTTGTTGAGACGGAGTTTCACTCTGGTTGCCCAGGCTGGGGTGCAATGGTGCGATCTCGGCCCACTGCAACCTCCGCCTCCTGGGTTCAAGCGATTCTCCTGCCTCAGCCTCCTGCGCAGCGGGTATTACAGACGTACACCACCAGGCCCGGCTAATTTTTGTATTTTTAGTAGAGCCGGGGTTTCACCATGTTGGCCAGGCTGGTCTCGAACTTCCGACCTCAGGTGATCCTCCTGCCTCGGCATCCCAAAGTGCTGGAATTACAGGTATGAACCAACATGCCAGCCCCCCCCCCTTTTTTTTTTTTTTGAGAGGGAGCTCAAAAAAGCCAGGCTGGAGTGCAATGATGTGATCTCTGCTCACTGCAACCTGCGCCTCCCAAGTTCAAGCGATTCTCCTGCCTCAGCCTCCTGAGTAGCTAGGACTACAGGCATGCACCACCATGCCTGGCTATTTTTTTTTTTTTTTTTTTTTTTTAGTAGAGATGGATTTCACCATGTTGGCTGGGCTGACCTCAAACTCCTGACCTCAAGCAGTCCCCCCACGTCAACCTCCCAAAGTGCTGGGATTACCACCGTGAGCCACCACGCCTGGCTAATTTTTGCATTTTTAGTAGACACGGGGTTTCACCTTGTTGGTCAGGCTGGTCTCAAACTCCTGACCTCAGGTGATCCACTGGCCTCGGCCTCCCAAAGTGCTGGCATTACAGGCATGAGGCCACCGTGCCCAGCCCGATGTCTGCAATTTGATGAGTTTGCACATATGCAGTCACCACACTCAAGATGACAGGCCTAACCATCACTTCCCAAGGTCCTTGTGTCCCACTGTTTTTGTTATTTTATGGTAAGAACCCTTACCGTAAAATCTACCCCGTGAACACCGTTCGAAGTGTGAGTACAATAGTGTTCACTGTAGCCCAGTCACACGCAGATTACGGCGTTCCTTAAGCCTCGAGGCCATATGACCATGCAGGAAACGGAACCTAATTGACCCACATCCGCGGGAACCTGTGTCTCAGTCCCCCCTCTAGTCCTGATGCTGCCTCAAGGAGGGGGTCCAGGCTGAAACTCAGAGTAGGGGGACTTGGCTGACTCCCGAGTCAGGGTCCAGGCAAGGGTAGGGGAATGTAGCAAGCTAGGATCCCGCCCGACTGGGACTCCAGGAGCCTCTGAGCCTCAGCAGCCGTCCCCTCCACCTACACGGTGTGTCTTAGGCTCAACTCCCAGCCTCCTCCTATGGACGTCCAGAGGACAGAGGTGGGAGATGGTAGGGGACAAGAACTGGGGGCGGGGGGACAGCCCTCCACATCTTCACCACCCCCTCTGCCAATCTTGCAAGCTCTAGAGCCCCCACGCAGGGTGCAGTGACTGTGGTATGCACTCCCAGGAGGGCACAAGGGCTGCAGGATACACTTTCCATAGAACTCAGTGCCTACTGTATGCATTCCCTGCAGGAGACAGCACCTTCTGTATACCTTCCTTGCAGGACGCAGCACCTGCAGTATATACTCTCTACAGGATGCAGTGACTGCTGTATGCACTCCTTTGCAGGTGTCATATCTACTGTATACACTCCTTTGCAGGGCAGAGTCTACTCTATACATTTCTTTTTCTTTCTTTCTTTCTTTTTTGAGACAGAGTCTCGCTCTGTCGCCCAGGATGGAGTGCAGTGGCACGATCTCAGCTCACTGCAAGCTCCGCCTCCCGGGTTCACACCATTCTCCTTGCCTCAGCCTCCCAAGTAGCTGGGACTACAGGCACCCGCCACCATGCCCGGCTAATTTTTTGTATTTTTAGTAGAGACGGGGTTTCACCGTGTTAGCCAGGATGGTCTCGATCTCCTGACCTCGTGATCCGCCTGCCTCAGCTTCCCAAAGTGCTGGGATTACAGGCGTGAGCCATCGTGCCCGGCCCTACTCTAGAAATGCATAATTTCTACAAGATGCAGCGCCTGCTGTATACCCTTCCTGCAGAGCATCATGCCTGCTGTGTGTGCTCCCTGTGGGCACTGTGCTTTCTGTATACCTTCCCTGCAGGGCACAGGGCGTGCTGTCTGCACTCCCCATGGAGCTCTGTGGACTGGACGTCTGGGAATGGGGCACATCTGAGGAGGATACAATTGTCCTAATGACACATTGACACATGCCCTGAGCTGACTTCTTTCTTTCTTTCTTTCTTTCTTTCTTTCTTTCTTTCTTTCTTTCTTTCTTTCTTTCTTTCTTTTTTTTTTTTGAGACAGAGTCTCGCTCTGGCGCCCAGGCTGGAGTGCAGTGGTGTGATCTTGGCTCTCAGCCACCTATGCCTCCTGGGTTCAAGCGATTCTCGTGCCTCAGTCTCCCAAGTAGCTGGGATTACGGGCACTTGCTGGCACACCCGGCTAAGTTTTGTATTTTTAGTAGAGACTGGGTTTCACCATGTTGGCCAAGCTGGCTTCAAACTCCTGACCTCAGGTAATCTGCCTGCCTCGGCCGTGCTAGGATTCCAGGCATGAGCTGCCGCGCCAGGCCTACCCTTCTCTCTTGACCCCTTCCGTGAGGGCCTTCCTGACATCCCCACAACCACACCCCCCGGGGCCATCTGTGGTGGGCCTGGGCTATTTTCTCCAATAGTCCAGGTCAGGCCAGACGGTGGGGTTATACACTCTGGGGGGGCTGCCTTACCTGCTGGCCTGGGACTGGCTGGGTTGTTCACAGCTGTGCACACAGTAGGTGCTCAATAAATGGCATATGGGTGGCTCTGCTGTGACATGCTACAGGCTGGAGGGCTGACTGAGTTGAACCAGCAGCACCCTGTATGTCCCCAGCAAACCTCTCTCTCTGTGGTCAGCGCTGTGGGACAGCCGGGTGGGCTTCCAGGAGGAGGGGGTGCTCAGGCCAAGCCTGGGTGGAGCCCAGGGAGCAGAAGAGCAGTCCCCCCCCTCGTTTAGTGACTCAGCCCTTCACCCCGCCCGCCAGGGGGCGCCGGCGGGCAACACCAGAAGCTGTTGGAGCCCAGAACCCAGGACCTGGTCTCATTCCTGCGTGGGTGGGCACAGGGCGGCGCAGACACGCCCGGCAGGAAAGGGTACAGTAGGGGAGTCATGGGGTGCCCCCTCGCGTTGCGCGTCCGCAGAGCCGGGTTCCAGATGGAAGGTGCGCGGTGGAGACCCCTGCCGGCCCCACTGTTGGGATGGGGAAACTGAGGCCGGAGAGGGTGGGGCCGCGGCTGTGAGGGAGAGGGACCACCTGGACCCAGGTCTGGCTCTGAAGCCCCGCTGGCAGCCCCGGGACCCGGCAGGGAGGGCAGGAGGTGGGGTGGGGCGCGTCCCCTGGTGACAGCAGCGCCCGGGAATGCGCCAGCTGGGAGGGTCTCTCCGCCCCCCGCGCGCGGCCCCCGGGGCTGAGCTTCTCCCCAGTGCGCTGGGGCCCTGCGCTGGGGGTGGCCGGGACCTGGATCGGGGAACCCCCGGATAGGAGCCCAGGCGCACGGAAGTCCCCCTCCACGAGCAGGGCGACCCCCCCGCGGGAGGGGTGAGGGGCAGGACCAGGGGAGGGAGCTGTGACCGGGGACGGGGACCCCGGCGGGACGCAATCCGGGCGTCGGTGGGGTAGGGGCAGCGCCTGGGACTCCCAGACCCAGAGCGGGGTGACCTCGGTTCGCGCACATTCCCGGGCCCTGAGCGCGGCGCCCGGAATAGCAGCCCCAGGGCAGAGGGGGGCGGTCAGTCCCCGCGCCGCGCCCCCGCCCGAGACTGCCAAGGTCACCGGGACCCGGGCGCCCGACACTAGCCCGCGGCTCCGGGACCCCTGCGCTTCGGCAGTCCCCTGCCGCAGATCCGCGCCCGCCGCGCGAGGGCGCCCGGGGCCGCCGCCCCTCCTGACCCGGGCCTGGGCGCGCCTGCGGAGGCCGCGGTGGGAGGGGCCGCCCCAGTCTCGCACCCGCCCGGCACCTCGGGCCCCGCCGCTTCCGCTCGCCCTGGGGCCGCTCAGGGAGCCGGGACGCGCTGCCTGGGCTCCGCGCAGCCGGTAAGTCCTTCTTCCTATCCCCCCACTTTCTCCGGGGGAAACTGAGGCCCAGAGGTGCGACTTGCCTTGAGATCCCACCGCCAGTCCGGGCTGCAGCCCACACGGGGAGGGGCCTTGATTCTGGGGAGGGCTCATTGAGGAGGGGGTAGGGTGGTCCTTGTAGCCCCCCACTTTTCACCACCTAGACCCCCACTCCTCAAGCCAGGCTCAGAGTCGGGTGGGGGTTGTCAGAAGGTGAAGGCCCCTCCCCCTGATTTTTTGGTTGGTTGGTTGGTTTTGAGATGGAGTCTGGCTCTGTCGCCCAGGCTGGAGTGCAGTGGCCCCATCTCGACTCATTGCAACCTCTGCCTCCTGGATTCAAGCGATTCTCCTGCCTCAGCCTCCCAAGTAGCTGGGATTACAGGCGTGCACCACCATACCTGGCTAATTTTTGTATTTTAGTACAGATGGGGTTTTACCATATTGGTCAGGCTGTCTCAAACACCTCAGGTGATCCACCCGCCTCGGCCTCCCAAAGTGCTGGGATTACAGGCCTGAGCCACCACGCCCGGCCCCCCTCCCCTTGTTTTAACTTTCTGGGGCAGACTTCTTCCTGCTTCCTGGGCTAGCCCAGGCTCTGGGCTCAGAGAGGGGCACGGATGCAGCTGACCACACAGCCGTCTCAGCACCTGGAGACACCCGGGACCCCAGACCCTTGGTGCCCCAGAGGTCCAAATGCTAGAGCCAATGGGGCCTGAGAGCCAGGGAAACAAGGTCCGGGTGGGACCCAGCCTCCTTCAGCTGGTGCCTGGGCCCGGGCTCACCCGCCTGCCTTCATGCTCTGCTGGCAGCGGGACGTCCTGGCTCACTTGGCAGCTGCTTCCCTTCCCTTCCCTCCCCTTTCTCCCTGCAGGCCGGGGTCACGAGGAGGGTGTGGATGGCAAGTGACTTCATCCCTGCCCGACGGATGGAGAAACTAAGGCCCAGAGAGGCAGTCAGCCTCCTCCCCTTTCCTGCTCCAGCCTCAGCAGTGGCCCCCTCCCTCCATGGGCCGCCCCGGTGCTCAGTCCCACCCCCTCCGCTGATGAGGCCATGAGGCACCGACTGGACCCAGGCCAGGTCACCCCTCCCTGTCCCATCCCCAATCCGGGGGACTCTCTGCTGTCTGGAAGCTGAGGGAACCCTGGGGCCGCGGTGCAGCTGGGGGCCTCTTCCGGGGACCCAACTCCTGATCCAGCCCCTGCCGGCCGCACCTTCTGCACAGTGTCACAGAATCATGGACTGAATCCATTCGGCCCCCACTGCACAGATGGGAAAACTGAGGCCTGGGAGAGTGGAGTGGCTGGCCTCAGGCCACACGGAAAGGTAGAAGCAGTGATGGTGGGGAGGGCGAGGAGGGGGCCCCAGCCCTAGGAGGCACCTGTGTACTATTCTTGAATGATCCCTCCAATCATCAAGCATCGATTAAGCACCTACTGTGTACATTATAGCACAATACACATATCAATGACATTGCAAGCTGGGCACAGTGGTTCATGCCTATAATCCTAGCACTTTGGGAGGCCGAAGCGGGTGGATCACTTGAGGTCAGAAGTTTGAGACCAACCTGGCCAAGATGGTGAAACTCTGTCTCTACTAAAACTACAAAAAGTAGTCGGGCGTGGTGGCGGGCACCTGTAATCCCAGCTTCTCGGGATGCTGAGGCAGGAGAATCACTTGAGGGGAGGGTTGCAGTGAGCCGAGATTGCACCCCTGCACTCTAGCCTGGGCGACAGAGCGAGACTCCGTCTCAAAACAAACAAACAACAACAACAATAATTGCAGATGACATTTTGAGTTCTTTCTCTCCATACCGGGCTCCATGCCTCCTGTCTTCTTTACCTGATCCACGGGACCCCTCAGCTTTCCTGTAAGGGAGGCTCTGTTACCCTGTTTTTCAGAGGAGAAGTAGGGCTCAGAGAGGTTTAGTTACTGTCCAAGATCACACAGCCAGTCAGGACAGAGCCAGGACACAATCCTGTGTCTGGCGGTGGCTCCATGGATCCAGCCCCTCTGTTCCCCAGGCCCCGCCTCTTCCAGAACCTCCTGCTTCTCCTGTGGGCCCTGCTGAACTGCGGTTTGGGGGTCAGTGCTCAGGTAAGGGGGGGCATGAGCCCAGGGGGTGGCGAGTGGGCATGGGGACCCAGCCAGCACTGTGGGGTCACCAGCATCTCCCCACCAGGCTGACCGTGCCTCTGTCTCCCCAAGTAGGGTCCGGGTGAGTGGACCCCATGGGTGTCCTGGACCCGCTGCTCCAGCTCCTGCGGGCGTGGCGTCTCCGTGCGCAGCCGGCGCTGCCTCCAGTGAGCGGGCTGGGGCTGGGAGGGGGTCCCTGCCCCTCCTCCCCCGCTGGCCCAGCCCGGCCCCTGGCCACACCCTCGGCCTGCCCACACATGCTGTGCCCTTTAATCCCGCTGATCCCACTGGAATGTGGGTGGGGTTGGCGGGGGCAGAGGGTGGAAGGCCAGCCCCAGGAGGGGGTCCCTGGGGGTTCTCGCCACACTCTGGCTCCCTGCAGGCTTCCTGGGGAAGACCCGTGCTGGGGAGACTCCCATGAGTACCGCCTCTGCCAGTTGCCAGTAAGTCCTGCCCACCTCTCAGACCACCCTCCCACCCCAGGCTGCCTGAAGCCCGCCACCTGCCCCTTGGGTTGTCCCAGCCTCTGGCTCACCTATCTCTGTCACTAGGACTGCCCCCCAGGAGCTGTGCCCTTCCGAGACCTACAGTGTGCCCTGTACAATGGCCGCCCTGTCCTGGGCACCCAGAAGACCTACCAGTGGGTGCCCTTCCATGGGGGTGAGTAGCCTGGTCTCCTGTGGTCAGAATTGGTTCAGAGTGAACAACTTATTACACTTAAGGAGAGGGACTTGGAGGGTTGCAAAGAGACAAGGGTATTAGCACTAGGGTTTTGAAGGATATGTAGGAGTTGGTGAAGTGAAACAGAAACAGCATATGTTAGGCGTGAAACAGGGGCAGAGGGAAGCAGGGTTCATGCTGAGGATTCCGACTGAGGATTGACTTAGAGCTGTATCCAGAGGCCGACAGTTCTCAAACTTATCCCAGTAGCAGGAAATGTTGCTGCATTGAGCTGAAAATAGCAAGTTATATAACTATGTGCCCGGGGCAGTGCGCCTCCAGATTTCAGGGTGACAGGCAGCTTCACACGCCATGGGGAAGGCAGACACAGATAGAAGAAAAGCCTAGAATGAACGAAGTGCCATCCATCAACCTCATTTCCTTCCTTCTTTCCCTCCTTTCCCTCCTTCCTTCCTTCCTTCCTTCCTTCCTTCCTTCCTTCCTTCCTTCCTTCCTTCCTTCCTTCCTTCCTTCCTTCCTTCCTTCCTTCCTCCCTCCCTCCCTCCCTCCTTCCTTCCTTCCAAGAATTGGAGGAAACCTGCTGTGATTCCACCCTCGCAGAGGCCCACTGGGGCCAGCCCAGGATCCGTTCCAGGCAGGGTCCACCAGCCAGACTCAGGGAAATGGGAGCCAAAAGGAGCTGGAGAGGAGGAGTGGAAATCAGGGCTGTCAGACTGTGTGTATATGATCAGACAGCCCATTTTTGCCCCACTTCCAGGCAGAAGGGGAAACTGAGGCCCAGGGAGGACCAGCGACACACCTCAGTTGTGCGGGACTCAGTCCAGTCAGTACTGGACATACACTTCACTGGGCACTTGCTAGGTGCTTGGGCCAGGTGCTCAGATCTTCTTTTTTGTTTGTTTTTTTGTTTTTTTGAGATGGAGTCTCGCTCTGTCACCCAGGCTGGAGTGCAGTGGCATGATCTCGGCTCACTGAAGCCTCTACCTCCCTGGTTCAAGCGATTCTCCTGCCTCAGCCTCCGAAGTAGCTGGAGTTACAGGCTCCCACCACCAAGCCCAGCTAATTTTTTGTTGTCGTATTTTTGGTAGAGATGGGATCTCACCATGTTGCCCAGGCTGGTCTTGAACTCCTGGCCTCAGGAGATCTGCCCACCTCAGCCTCCCAATGTGCTGGGATTACAGGCGTGAGCCACCGCACCTGGCCTTTTTTAAGGTCATCCATCTGCACACTGATAGAGTTCTTGCTTCTGTATCCTAGAGCTTAGAACAGTGTCTGGAAAACAGTAGGTGTTCAGTGGAATGAAGAATGAGTAATGGTGTTAAAAATGAATAGTATGTAAGGACTCCTAATATAAAGACTATGAATGAATGAATGAATGAATGAATGAATGAATGAATGCAGCCCCAGGATACTTGCCTGGGAGTCCTAGGTTGCTGGAGGCAGAGCACCTACGGTCCAGTCCTGGCTCTGCCTCAGCCTCAATGTGTGGCTTTGGCTGAATCTCTGGGCTTCATCTGCCCAAGGTGATGGTCGCCTGATGAAGTTTGGTAGAGGGGGCCTGGAACTCGAATAGGGGTCCCCGGCCCACTGACTCCTCCTGCCCTCAGCGCCCAACCAGTGTGACCTCAACTGCCTGGCTGAGGGGCACGCCTTCTACCACAGCTTCGGCCGCGTCCTGGATGGCACCGCCTGCAGCCCGGGTGCCCAGGGGGTCTGCGTGGCTGGACGCTGCCTTGTAAGGACTCGCCAGGCCCCGCCTGAGCCCCACCCACCTTTCACTCAGGCTCCACCCACAGCCTCCTCCCTAGGCTCCACCTCCACCTTCCCATTAGCCTCCACCCCTTCCCTAGACTCCATCCCTTCCCTAGACTCCACCCCTTCGCTTCCCCTTCCAGGCCTCGCCCCCAGCCCCAGCTTAGGCACCCACCCCCTGGGCACCACACCCATCCTCCTCCCTCCAGGTCCTGCTCCTCCCTAGGCTCCACCCCCATCTTCCCTCCAGGCCTTGTCCTCTTGCTCCCAAGCACTGCCCTTTCCCCAGGTCCTGGCCCTCCCAGCGTCAGTGACGCCGCGCCTGTCCTTCACCCTTTAGAGCCCCGGCTGTGATGGGTTGCTGGGCTCGGGTGCCCTGGAGGACCGCTGCGGCCGCTGTGGAGGCGCCAACGACTCGTGCCTTTTCGTGCAGCGCGTGTTTCGTGACGCCGGTGACTGCCTGCCCCGTCCTCCCTGCACACCCGTCAGAGCGGGCCCTTTAACAAGCTGTGGCCCGGAAGCAAATTTCCGTGCTGATTGGCCAGTGTGCGGCCCAGCCCCTCTTTCTCCTCATCCTGATTGGCTACTGACAGATTGTCCCTCCCTTCCCCAGAACAGATGGGGTTTTAACTCTTTCCCTGCCACACTGAAGCAATAGTAATTGTAACTCCAACCGTTTACGAAGGGTTTTCCGGTTCCCAGGACCCTGGCTAGCTGTCTTACCCTCAGTAGCTCATTTCATCTTCAAGTCATCGCTCAAATACACCCCCACTGGCACCCCAACACCCTTTTACCCTCCCACCCAGGTGCCTTCGCTGGGTACTGGAACGTGACCCTGATCCCCGAGGGCGCCAGACACATCCGCGTGGCGCACCGGAGTCGCAACCACCTGGGTATCCTAGGGTGTGAGGCGGGAGGCACCCTGCAGGCCGCCCGTGGGCGGTTGTCCCTGTTTACAGATGGGGAGACTTGAGGCCTGAGGAGGGGACCCCGGGGTCTGGGAGACGAGATGGACACGTTCCTGAGGGCTGACTGTTCCCTTGCAGCGCTGATGGGGGGCGATGGGCGCTACGTGCTTAACGGGGACTGGGCAGTCAGCCCGCCAGGGACCTATGAGGCGGCTGGCACCCATGTGGTCTACACCCGCGACACAGGGCCCCAGGAGACATTGCAAGCAGCCGGGCCCACCTCCCACAACCTGCTCCTACAGGTGCCGCCGGGCCTCCAAGAGGGTCAGAGGGGGGAGGCTGGTGAGAGAGAGTCAGAGGGGGGCAGTTAGGGACAAGGTCAGAGAGGGGAGGCTGGTGACAGATTCAGAGGGTGTCCGCTGGGGACAGGGTCATGGCAGGGAGTTTGGTGACAGGGTGTCAGAAGGGGTCGGATGGGAACAGAGGGTCAGACAGGGGAGGCTGGGGACAAGGTCAAAGGGGGTCAGCTGGGGACAGAGTGTCAGAGGGGTAAGGCTGGTGACAGGTTTAGAGGGGGGCGGTTGGGGACAGGGTCAGAGGGGGAAGTCTGGTGACAGAGGGTCAGAGGGAGTTGGCTGCGGACAGAGGGGAGAGGTTGGGGACAGGGTCAGGGGATCAGCTGGGGACAGAGCATCAGAGGAGGGAGGCTGGGGACAGACAGGGTCAAAGGGGGGAGGCTGGGGTCATAGGATCAGAGGGAGGAGGCAACCCCAGCCTCTGGTGAAGCTCCCTGTGTGCCCTCCCCTGCTCCAGGTCCTCCTGCAGGAGCCCAACCCCGGCATCGAGTTTGAGTTCTGGCTCCCTCAGGAGCGCTACAGCCCCTTCCAGGCTCGGGTGCAGGCCCTGGGCTGGCCCCTGCGGCAGCCGCAGCCCCGGGAGGTGGAGCCTCAGCCCCCCGCAGCCCCTGCTGTCATCCCTGCACGGACCCCAACCCTGGCCCCAGGTGAGGTGGGGACAGCCAGGGTGGGGAATGAGTGGGGGCTGAGGCCTCTGCCCCTCACAGCACCGCCCACCCCACAGACCCCTGCCCACCCTGCCCTGACACCCGAGGCCGCGCCCACCGACTTCTCCACTATTGCGGCAGTGACTTTGGTGAGACCCCCGACCCCTACTCTCACATAGCCCTTATTAACCTGGCCTCCTGCTGACCTCTGACCCTAATCTGACTTTACCCTTGAGCCTTTTTTCTGACCCTAATTTGCCTCTTGACCCTAACCACTCATTGATCCCTCACGTGATCCTGACTCCAGTCCCTATAGATCCCGAGGTCCCACCTGACCCTCAGCCCCTCTTCTGGCAATGTGGGTGGGGCGTGGAGATTTTCGCAGAGTTGAGCAGCCAGCCAGCTCAGTATGACCCCCAACAGTGTTCCAGGCCCGAGTGCTGGGCCGCCACCGCCAGGCCCAGGAGACCCGCTACGAGGTACGCATACAGCTGGTCTACAAGAACCGCTCTCCACTGCGGGCCCGCGAGTACGTGTGGGCGCCAGGCCACTGCCCCTGCCCGATGCTGGCACCCCACCGGGACTACCTGCTGGCTGTCCAGCGCCTCGTGAGCCCCAACGGCACACAGGACCGGCTGCTGCTGCCCCATGCCGGCTACGCCCGGCCCTGGAGCCCCGCGGAGGACAGCCGCGTACGCCTGACTGCCCGACGCTGTCCTATCTGAGCCCCCGCAGGACCCCTGGCCACACACAGCAAGAAAGATACATCTGACCAGTCTCAACATCAGCGTATTTCCCCTCTCACCCTCGCTTCCAGGCAGCTCTGAAATATGTCCCACCTGTGCAGCTATGTGACTCCCTCCCACACACACTTAGACACCTCTGCATGCAGTTGGAGTCACTGTCACAAGCCGGCAGGCACTGGTGAGGAGACACTGAAGAGACTCTGACTTGTATTTCGCTTCTCTCCTTGGCTGCCAGGAAGCTCATAGCTATTTATACTCAGAAAGTTTAACTCTGCTTTCATTCTCTTTGCGTCACACTCACTTTGAGACACTGTCATGAACGAGCATGACACCCTGCTGCCCTGGGTACGCGGAAACTCATCTGTTTAATTCCCAGACACTGTGCTGTCTCTCCTCTCTGCTACTCACACGCACCCTTGTGTGTGAAGAGCAGAGACACTGTCACAAACAGGCATGCCCCTTAGAAGACATGCCTAACCAGGCACTGTAACGTACCAATTTCCCCTTTTCCCCTGGCTACTGGGAAACTCAGAGACAATCTTTTCAGCCTCAGCATTTCTGGCTGGATTTCTGCCCATCAATATGCTCACCCCTCCCCTCCTCTTTTTTTTTTTTTTTTTTTTTTTTTTTTGAGACACAGCCTTGTTTTGTCACCTAGGCTGAAGTGCAGTGGTGCAATCATCGCTCACTGCAGCCTCGAATTCCTGGGCTCAAGCGATCCTCCCACCTCAGCCTCCACAGCAGCTGGAACTACAGGTGTGAATCACCATGCCCGGCTACCTTTTAAATTTTTTGTAGAGAGGGGGTCTTGCTATGTTGGCCACACTGTTCTCCAACTACTGGCCTCAAATGATCCTCCTGCCTCAGCTTCCCAAAGCACTGGAATTTCAGGCATGCACTATCGTACTGGCTGTTCACCCCCCTTTTATTCCTCTTTAATTTTTACAAGCACTTTTTTAAAACTTACTTTAAGTTCTGGGATACATGTGCAGAATGTGCAGATTTATTAGATTAGCATCCATCAACCTGTCATCGAGGTTTTAAGCCCCGCATGCATTAGGTATTTGTCCTAATGCTCTCCCTCCCCTTGGCCCCCACCCCACAAAGGACCCAGTGTGTGATGTTCCCCTCCCTGTGTCCATGCGTTCTCGTTGTTCAACTCCCATTTATGAGTGAGAACAAGTGGTGTTTGGTTTTCTGTTCCTGTGTTAGTTTGCTGAGAACGATGGCTTCCAGCTTCGTTCATGTCCCCGGAAAGGACATGAACTCATTCTTTTTTATGGCTGCAGAGCACTTTTTTTTAAAGCACCCCCATCACATGCAGTCAGTCACAGAGACTCAGGGACGCGCTGGTAGAACCCCGTCTCAGTTTTACTTATGGGTAGACACACATGTTCACACGCACCCCACCCCTCCTTCCGGCCCAGCCTCACCTCCTCCCTGCACATCTGACCCTGTGTGGGGTGAGGTCAGGGAATAGATGAGGATAGGAGCAGGTGGGGAATGAATGGAGCTTTGGTAGGTCCTGAGCCTCCCCCAACTGCCACATACTTTCTCAGGCCGACACTGGGAGCCCCTCCCCAGCTGAGGAGGTAGGTGAGAGCCACTGCTGTCTGTGGGCTGCCAGCCCACTATGTTCTTCTGCAACCAGGAGGTCCGACATGGGCTGTGTGTGTACTAGGGGGTGTCACGAGTTCACTCAGTAAACCCTCCCCTATGGGGTGCCAACCCTCTGCCTCTCACTCCTGATGGATGGCACACACTGCCACCTGGGACAAACCGCTCTGTGTGGGACCAGTGGTTGCATTTCTCTCTGGGGCCTGGGATGCCTGGGGTCCGTGGGTTCCCGCTGACCACTGGGCACGGACAAGCTGCCCCCACCAGGGAGGGAGCAGCCAGAGAGAATGAAAGGCAAGGAGGCTGCTGAGGCAGAGGGAGTCGGCGAGGGGTGCAGGACATCGGTGGACTCGGCCCCTGATCTTGCAGGTGACCCCAGGCCAGGTGCAGCCCCTCTCCGGCCTCAGTTTCCCCCTCAGTGAATGGCGCCCTCGAAACCCCTCCCAGCTCTGACATGGGAGTTAACTCTTTCCCGGAGCCCTTCCCTAGCCCCCTTTCTTCCTTCAGACATTTCTGCAGCAAGTGCTTATTGAACACCGACGGCATACCAAGGACCCAGCGAGGCCTGGGACGACCCGGCGCTTCAGTGATGCGGTGCCTTCTGTGATTGACATCTGCGGCAAGCGCTGCCGGCGGGGGTCCCAGGAGCTCCCCAGCCAAGGGCCGCGGGTACTGCAGGGCTGTGTGGGGCCGCAGTGCCCCCTGGCGGCAGGACGGGGCATGAAGGGACTCCGTGCGCGCCGCGTGGCTTGCAGCCCAGGTGCCCTGAGCCCACTTCCGCGTGGGCACTCGCTTCCCCATGGACGCGGGCCCCTCTTGCAGGCCTCCTCGTGACAGCACTGGCTCCTGAGGCCACTGTCGGTGCCTGCCGGGCCCCCACTGCCCTCCCTCCCCAGCTAGTCTGCAAGGCGGTCCCCTCTCCCCGGCTGTGGTTTGGGGTGTGCCAGGGAATGGAGGTTTCAGGTCTCTCTCAGCCACTGCCCTGGCGCCTGGATCTCAGACAGTCACCCTGGGGGCTGCCCAACACGCCAGGGGAGCTAACAGGGACCCCAGGCTGTGCCTGAGGCCAGGGAGAAACACGCATGAGGCTGTCCCACAGTCCCCACCGCCAGGAGCACGCCATTCCCACGTGGGCCAGAGGACCCCAGCATGATTTGAAAATGACGACATTGTTTCCAGTGAGAACCACGTAACAATCGGCAATAAATGGTCTCCAGATTTGCGCTTTAGCTTTAAAGCCAACTAGTGAACGTTCAGGTATCTTTGTTGTTTTTGTTTTTTTGAGCCAGGGTCTGACTGTGTCTCCCAGGCTGGATTGCAACGATGCCATCATAGCTCACCGCAGCCTCCACCTCCCGGGCTCCAGTGATCCTCCTGACTGAGCCTCCGGTGTAGCTAGGACTACAGGTGCATGCCACCATGTGTGGCTGATTTTTCTTTTATTTTTGGTACAGAGGGTGTCTCTCTATGTTGCCAAGACTAGTCTTGAATTCCTGGCCTTAAGCGAATCTCCTGTCTCAGCATCCTAAAGCGCTGGATTACAGGTGTCAGTCACTGCACCCGGCTGTCACTCTTTCCTCCTTTTATTTATTTTTATTTATTTTTTGAGACGGAGTTTTGCTCTTGTCGCCCAGGCTGGAGTGCAATGGCGCAATCTTGGCTCACTGCACCCTCCGCCTTCCGGGTTCAAGTGATTCTCCTGCCTCAGCCTCCTGAGTAGCCGGGATTACAGGCACCCGCCACCACGCCTGGCTAATTTTATATTTTTAGTAGAGACAGAGTTTCACCATTTGGCCAGGCTGGTCTTTAACTCCTGACCTCAGGCGATCTGCTCGCCTCAGCCTCCCAAAGAGCTGGGATTACAGGCATGAGCCACCGAGCCCGGCCTCCATTTACCATTTTAGGCCAGCTGTGGTGGCTCATGCCTATAATCCCAACACTTTGTGAAGCTAAGGCAGGAGAATTGCTTGAGCCCAGGAGGTCGAGACTACAGTGAGCTGTGGTTGCACTGTTGCACTCCAGCCTGGGTCACAGAGTGAAACCCCCTATCTATTTAAAAAAATAAAGGCCGGGCGCGGTGGCTCATGCCTGTAATCCCAGCACTTTGGGAGGCCGAGGCGGGTGGATCACTTGAGGTCAGGAGATCAAGACCATCATGGCTAACATGGTGAAACCCCGTCTGTACTAAAAATACAAAAAATTAGCCAGGCATGATGGCGGGTGCCTGTGGTCCCAGCTACTTGGGAGGCTGAGGCAGGGGAATTGCTTGAACCTGGGAGGCGGAGCTTGTAGTGAGCAGAGATCGCGCCACAGCACTCCAGCCTGGGTGACAGAGCGAGACTCCATCTCAAAAAAAAAAAAAAAAAAGAAAAAGAAAAGGAAAGTGAGGGACCATGCCAGGTGCAGAGCGAGCTCGGCACCCTCTCTTCTCCCTCGGGGCCATGACCAGACCACATTCTTCAAAGCAGCCGGGCCAGTGATCGGCAGATCCTGACAGCCTGGTCTGCCATCCCCATGTGGTCACCGACACAGGGTCGGGGGTGATTAATCATTACCTTTGCTCTTTGCTCTGATAAATCCTGCACCCGGAGTAAAAGACAAAGTCCTGGGCCGGGCGTGGTGGCAGGTGCCTGTAATCCCAGCTACTCAGGAGGCTGAGGCAGGAGAATCGCTTGAACCCAGGAAGCAGAGGTTGCAGTGACCCAAGATCATGTCATTGCACTCCAGCCTGGGCAACAAGAGTGAAACTCCGTCTCAAAAAACAAAGAGAAAGTGCCCCTGTGCCCTCTCAGTGCCTGTGTGGTGCAGCCCTGAAAACTCCTTTTCCCTCCTCCCTGACCTCCTTCCTCCCTGACCTCCCTCCTCCCTGACCTCCTTCCTCCCTGCCCTCCCTCCTCCCTGACCTCCCTCCTCCCTGCCCTCCCTCCTCCCTGCCCTCCCTCCTCCCTGACCTCCCTCCTCCCTGCCCTCCCTCCTCCCTGACCTCCTTCCTCCCTGCCCTCCCTCCTCCCTGCCCTCCCTCCTCCCTGCCCTCCGTCCTCCCTGACCTCCCTCCTCCCTGACCTCCCTCCTCCCTGACCTCCCTCCTCCCTGCCCTCCTCTCTCCCTGACCTCCCTCCTCCCTGCCCTCCGTCCTCCCTGACCTCCCTCCTCCCTGCCCTCCGTCCTCCCTGCCCTCCGTCCTCCCTGCCCTCCCTCCTCCCTGCCCTCCCTCCTCCCTGCCCTCCCCTTCTGTGCTCCAGCCACAGGAGCCTCCCCTCTGTGCCTCCTACTCACCAGCATGGTCTTGCCTCAAGGCCTTTGCACAGGCTGTGCCCTCTGCCTAGAACACTCCTCTTTTTTTTTTTTTTTTTGAGAAAGTGTCTTGCTCTGTTGCCAGGCTGGAGTACAGTGGTGCTATCTCGGCTCACTGCAACCTCCACCTCCCGGGTTCAAGCAATTCCCCTGCCTCAGCCTCCTAAGTAGCTGGGATTACAGGCATGTGCCACCACACCTGGCTAATTTTTTGTATTTTAGAGAGACGGGATTTCACCATGTTGGCCAAGATGGTCTTGATCTCCTGACGTCATGATCCACCCACCTCGGCCTCCCAAAGTGCTGGGATTACAGGCGTGAGCCACCCACCCAGCCTTTTAATTTTTTTTCTTGAGATGGAGTCTCACTCTGTCGCCCAGGCTGGAGTGCAATGGCACGATCTCCACTCACTGCAACCTCTGCCTCCCAGGCTCAAGTGATTCTCTTGCCTCAGCCTCCTAAGTAGCTGGGACTCCAGGCATGTGCCATCATGCCTGGCTAATTACTGTATTTATAAGTAGAGACAGTGTTTCACCATGTTGGCCAGGCTGGTCTCGAACTCCCGACCTCGGGTCATTCTCCTGCTTTGGCCTCCCAAGGTGCTGGGATTACAGGTGTGAGCCACCACGCCCGGCTCACCACTCTTTTTCTTTTGGAGACAAGGTCTTCCTCTGTTGCCTAGGCTGGAGTGCAGTGATCATGGCCAGGCATGGTGGTGTGCGCCTGCAGTCCCAGCTACACAGAAGGCCAAGGGAGGAGGAATTCTTGAGCTCAGGAGGCTGAGGATGCAGTGAGCCATGATTAAATTACTACACTCCAGCCTGGGCAACAAAGCCAGAACCTGTCTCATAAAAAAAAAAAAAAAAAAAAAAAAAAAAAAAAAAGTGTCTCCAGACAAGACCCAGAGGCCTGGGGACAAAACTGCTCTGGGTTGAGAATAACTGAGTTATGGCCCCTTGGACAAATATAATATCAGGCTTTGTGGTTTATCCTGCTAACTTTTTTTTTTTTTTTTTGAGACAGTTTTGCTCTTGTTGCCCAGGCTGGAGTGCAGTGGCGTGATCTCAGCTGACTGCAACTCCGTCTGCCTCCTGGGTTCAAGCAATTCTCATGCCTCAGCCTCCAGGGTAGCTGGGATTATAGGCGCCCACCACCATGCCTGGCTAATTTTTGTATTTTTTAGTACAGACGGGGTTTCGCCATTTTGCCCAGGCTGGTCTTGAACTCCTGACCTCGGGTGATCCACCCGCCCCGGCCTCCCAAAGTGCTGGGATTACAGGCCTGAGCCACCGCGCCCACCTGGGGGAGTTTTAAGAGAAGCAGGCTAATGCAAATGGGCCAGACAACTAGCTCGGGAGGGGAGAAAGCACTGAGGTTAAGGACAAGCATTTCCGGGGCTTGCACCCATCCTGGCCATGCAGGTGGACCTTGAGTGGGTGAATTAGCCTCTGGGCCTCGGTCTCCTCATCTATGTTATGGGGCTGGTCGGCACAGCTGGGATTCGTGCCTGATTAAATGGAACAGTGCCCTCGCAGCCCCTCCCCCAGACACGTGGAGCGCAGGTCTGGTCCGGGTTAGCTTTATTGGAGCCTCCTAGCAGGCCAGGTGTTTCAGGCACCAGTAGTGCTGCAGGCACGGGGGCCTGTGGTGTGGCCAGCTGCAGGTGATCTCAGTGGTGGACTCCGAAGTGTACTCCAGAGAGGTCCCGGAGTGGCAGGGGACCAGCTCGGGCACTGAGGTGCTGCTGGCAAGCTGTTTCGAGGATTGCTTCTGGCGCTGTCCGCTGGTCTTGGGGGCTGTGTCCTCTGGCTCGCCAGGGGGCTTGCTGGGAGGCTGCGTGGGGACGTTGCTGCTGCTGGGAGACTGGACCACGGGTGAGACCGGGCTGGAGGTGACGTTGGGTGGCTGCAGGGGCCTCGAGGATGGGAGGGCTGACTGGGAGGGGCCGGAGGAAGTACCAGGCAGCTGGGTGCATTGCTGAGACCGCTGGGAGCTGACCCGTGCCCGACGCTGGCCCTGGGCCTTGCCACGGCCAGAGCTGGAGGGCAGCTGGCCCTGGGATTCAGAGCTGGGGGTGGCCGAGGACTGGGACTGGGACTTGCCCGAGGTGGCATTTAAGGAGACCCCCAGGGCCTTGCCTGGACCCGAGGGACTGGCGTGGGCTGCCGTCGAGAGATGCGCTGAAGACGATGTGGAGGCCTGGGAGCCCGGCGCGGCCCCCTCCTCACCAGCCGGGAGGTCCTTGCGAGGCCCGGGGGGCTGCTTCACTTGTCCTTCGGCTGCAGGGTCTGGCTTGGCTTGACTGCAGAGAGAGGGGCAGGCGGGGGAGGGCGGTGAGGCAGGCCTGGGCTCCGCTGACTGCTCACAGGTGGGACTGAGGCTACTGGATGTGAGCATGGAAAGTCGAGGGGCCGGGCAGCCACCCTCAGCAGAGATGGTGTCGACCACACGCACGCTTTCATGGTCACCTATACATAGAGGGGTGCACACAGAGCACGCACATGTGCAGTCACACACACGCTCACACACATACATGCACACGTGGTCACACGCACGCACACATGCATGCACACACACGTGCACATACACCTGTACACGTGGTCACACACACATGCACATGTGAGAAACCATGCTCCCTTGCTCACTCATACACACATGGAAACACCATACGCTTGAGCCATGCACACACACACCGTCATGCACATGACAAAACATGCACGCACAATAACACATGTGCAACAGCAAACATACACTCAAACACATGCGCACACACACACACAGCTCCTACCTCCCCCACGGGTTACGTACTGTCAGCTTCCAGGGGAGTGGAGGGCCCGGCCACAGCCGCTGGAGTGACGCCTGCCCGGCTACGGGCCAGCGCCTGCAAGACTGGTTCCCGGAAGCGTGAGAGAGAGAGGCGGACAGTGAGAGGGGGCGGCCAAGATGCCAGACAGTGGGCAGTCAAAGTCAGAAAGGGAGGCAAGGTGGAGACAGGTGGAGACCCAGGAGACGGTCAGAGGCAGCCGGGCGCCTGCAAGCACCCACCGTTCCTGGTTATTCCGGCCGCCGCGTCCAGGGCTCGCCCGCTGAGGTTGTTGACGATTCTGTCCACGGCCCCGTGGTGCCTTAGGAACAGCGGGCGCACGACGCGCTGATACAGCATGAGAGCCCCGTTCCAGGGCCTGGGGGCCATGCAGAACAACAGGAAGGCGCACTGCAGGGCAGGGCAGGAGTTACACGCAGCCCCACCCAGCTCTGTGCCCCTGGAGGGGAGAGAGGCTGCACTACCCCACCACATGCCCACCCTGGACAGGAACCGGGTCTCCACCATCAGACACCCTTTGGGGGGGCCCTCCACCATCAGACATCCTATTGGGATGGGCCTGGGTTTTCGCCATCAGACACCCTTTAGGGTGAGCCCTCTACCATCAGACATCCTGTAGGGTGGACCCTCCACCATCAGACATCCCTTAGGGTGAACCCTCCACCATCAGACATCCTATCGGAGCAGGCTTGGGTCTCCACCATCAGACACCCTTCAGGGTGGGCCCTCCACCATCAGACATCCTTTAGGGTGGGCCCTCCACCATCAGACATCCTGTAGGGTGGGCCCTCCACCATCAGACATCCTTTAGGGTGGGCCCTCCACCATCAGACATCCTTTAGGGTGGGCCCTCCACCATCAGACATCCTGTAGGGTGAACCCTCCACCATCAGACATCCTTTAGGGTGAGTCCTCCACCATCAGACATCCTATTGGAGCAGGCTTGGGTCTCCACCATCAGACACCCTTCAAGGTGGGCCCTCCACCATCAGCCCCCAGACAGGGCCCGTTTCCCCAGGGAAAGGACTGAGTCTTCCCCTCCCATCTCCCATCTCCTGGTATTCTTTCCTCCGGACCTCCTGGCCCCAATACCTCCCAGGAATCCCCAAGCCCCATGCGCTCCATGGCTGTACCCGCCCTGGCAGGGCCCACCTTGCCCACGTAGTAGAAAGGGAACCAGGACAGGAGTAGATCGCTGAAGAACTCGGCCAGCCCGAACAGGGCGTACACCACCCAGTAGGTGAGCCACACAGTGTCGTCGTCCTTGCTTGGGCTCTCGATAGCTTTGATTCTGCAGGGAGGCGCAGCAGGGTCAGGGGCTGCCCGGGAGCCCCCAGATCCCCCCACGTGGGCAGCCAGCCGTGCACTCACGAGGCATATGCGGGGTAAACAAATCCGATGAGATTGCACAGCAGAGACGCTCCGTATCCGAACAGCAGATACAGGCTTAGCAGAGTGACGGCTCCTGCGGGAGAGAGGTGGTGGTGTGCTAGGGCCAGGGACCTGCTGAGTCCCCATGACAGCACCCAGGCCTCCTTTCAGTCGACAGAGACTGCAACCTCCTCAGAAGCCTTGGTGATGCCTCTAGGATGTGTCCACTGCCCCCAAAGTGTCTGTGCATCCCCCCATCGTGTCCCTAGGCCCCGAGCCTTGTGCCTGTAACTGGTCAATGTGTCCATGTCCCCCACCATGGTTGAGAGCTCCCCAAGGGCAGGCAGGAGCTTGACACTGGGCAGTGGGGGTGGGTGCAGAATAGCTATCCAATAAAGTGTTTGCTGAGTGAGTAAGTGTAATCTGGCCAGATGTGGTGGCTCACGCCTGTAATCCCAGCACTTTGGGAGGCCGAGGTGGGCGGACCGGGCAGGCAGACCACCTGAGGTCAGGGGTTCGAGACTAGCCTGGCCAACATGGTGAAACCCCATCTCTACTAAAAACACAAAAATTAGCCAGACTTGGTGGCGGGCGCCTGTAATCCCAGCTACTTGAGAGGGCTGGAGGGCGGGGAGAATCGCCTTGAACCCCAGGGAAGCGGGTGGGTTGCCAGTGGAGCCAGAGCTTGAGCCAGTGGCACTCCAGCCTGGGTGAGATTCCTTTTTACAGCACCACCCCCCCAACTAAAAAAAAAAAAAAAAAAGAATGAGCATAATCTGCAATGATAGGCATCTCGTTCCAGGCCCTATGGGAGGCGCTGGGAAACGAGGCTAATGTTTCAACATAAGGGATGGGTGAAGCCTGCAAGGGAGGCCAGGCTGTCATGAAGACTTGGTTCCAGAGCTGAGAAACGCAACTGTTTCATCCGTTATCTTAGTGCAGGGTTTCTCTGCCTTGGCACTGCTGATGTTCGGGGCTGGGTCATTCTTGGTTGTTTTCGGCGGGGAGGGGAGGTGGCTGTCCTGGACACTGCAGGGTGCTGAGCAGCGTCCCTGGCCTCTGCCCTCTCCATGCCATCAGCTCCCCAGTCATGACGACCACAGATATCCCTAGACATCACCCAGTGTCCCTGGGGCAGGGTGGGGGGCAGTACTACCCTCCCCCGTCTTGGAGGCAGCAAACCCCAGCATCTCGGTCCCCCGGGTGGAGGAGAGCCCTTTGGTTGGCTGTGCACTCACCAGCCGGCACTGAGCAAGGCTGTGGCTGCACGGAGCCTCAGTTTCCCCCTTGGTAAGTGGGAATGGTAATGGCCCCTGCCTCTTATGGTTTCAAGTTAACAGAGAGGGCTGGGCACAGTGGTTCATGCCTATAATCCCAGCACTCTGGGAGGTTGAGGTGGGCGGATCGCCTGAGGTCAGGATTTCGAGACCAACCTGACCAACATGGAGAAACCCCATCCCTACTAAAAATACAAAATTAGCCGGGAGTGGTGGCGCATGCCTGTAATCCCAGGTACTCAGGAGGTTGAGGCAGGAGAATTGCTTGAACCCAGGAGGCAGAGGTTGTGATGAGCCGAGAACATGCCATTGCACTCCAGCCTGGGCAACAAGAGCGAAACTCTGTTGCAAAAAAAAAGTAATAACAAGTTAACAGAGAGAACTCCTTTCTGCGCGTTTATTTTTATTCATTTATTTATTTTTGAGACGGAGCCTTGCTCTGTCGTCCAGGCTGGAGTGTAGCGGCACAATCTCAGGTCACTACAAGCTCCGCCTCCCGGACTCAAGCGATTCTCCTGCCTCAACCTCCTGAGTAGCTGAGCGTGCCACCACACCCAGCTGAATTTTGTATTTTTAGTAGAGACGGGGTTTCACCATGTTGGCCAGGCTGGTCTCAAATTCCTGACCTCAGGTGATCCGCCCGCCTCGGTCTCCCAAAGTGCTGGGATTCCAGGCGTGAGCCGCCGCGACCTGCCCTTCTCCACATTTATTAAGTGCCTTCAGGCAACAATAACACAGTCCCAGCAAGGAGGGTGTTCAGAGAAAAAGGTGTGTGTGTCCAGCTCAGCCCCAATCCTGAACCTGGCTCTGAAAAGAATGATGACGACAGCTGCATTTATTAAGCGCCTATTGTGTGCCAGGTTTTGTGCTTTCCCTGAATTATCTTATTCAGAACTGGGGGTGGGTGGGTGTTGCCCAAGGTCACACAGGGAACCCCCGTGCTTCAGAGAGCTTGGACAGCCTCCTTCCTCCTCCCCTGGAGCTGCTATCTGCAGAGTGAGATAGAGGCCGCTTCCGGACCAAAGGGCAGAGGCCCAAGTCCCTCCCAGCCCCTCCTACCTGCTTTAGTCTTTATCCACAAGCACCCGAGGTCACGGGTAGGCGGAGTCCCCCAGCTGGGAGGCTGTGTGGCCTCCCGGTCACTGTCTCCTCTGAGTTTCTTCGTATGTTACCCAGGGGTGTGGGATTTGTCGATTTAAATGAGGTGGGAGAAGGGGGATGAGGGAATGCTACCTCTCCCCAGGCCTGGCTTGTGGGGAGGAGTGACTCTCCCAGGGTGTCCCTCCCTTAAATCCCTGTTCCTGCAGCTTCAGCAACGGGAGGATGACCTTGGACATCAGAACTGTGGAGGGGGGCCCAGCCCCCACGATTAGCAGCAGATGGGACTGGGAGTGGGCGGGGTGGAGGGGTGTACGCCTCAGACACAACAGGCGCAGAGGCAGCCCCTGCCGCCCTGTGCCTCAGTTTCCTCTCTGGTGACACAGTGCCCCAGCCAGCCCCTCCCTGCTGCCTGCCTCCTGGGCGCTCTGTGACCTAAATTCCTGCCCACTGGCCCCAGGGATGTGGAAAGGGAGGGCAGAGGCCAGGGACCTGCTCCCGGGGGCAGGCACAGCCAGGCCATGCCCATGCCACCTGCTGCACTGCACATGGGACCAGGCACCTGGGGACCTCCAGGGTCTGGACACAGATTTCAGACTGTTCTCAGGCTGCCTGGCATGGGAACCCCCAGATGGTGGGAAAATGGAGGGGGGGACTGGACTCCGGGGATCCACCTGCAGAAGGTGCTCAAAAAAGTGGCACTGTCCTCTACCCAGAACACCCCAGGCCCAGATCAAGTCCTTTCAAGTCATTCTGCGGAGCTTCCTGGAAGAGAAGGCAGAGCCAGTGGGGCTGGGAGCAGTGGCTCCCATGTAAATCCCAGAGCTTTGGGAGGCTGAGGCAGAAGGATCGCTTGAGCCCAGGAGTTTGAGACCAGTCTGGGTAACATAGTGAGACCCTGTCTCTTAAAAAAGTTAACTTTAAAAAGTTTTAGGCCAGGCAAGGTGGCTCACACCTGTAATCCCAGCACTTTGGGAGGCTGAGGTGGGCGGATCACCTGAGGCCAGGAGTTCGAGACCAGCCTGGCCAACATTGTGAAACCCCGTCTCTACTAAAAATACAAAAATTAGCCGGGCATGGTGACCTGCGTCTGTAATCCCCGCTGCGCAGGAGGCTGAGGCAGGAGAATCGCTTGAACCCAGGAGGCAGAGGTTGCAGTGAGCTGAGATTGCACCACTGCACTCCAGCCTGTGCGGCAGGGCAAGACTCGATCTCAAAAAAAAAGTTTTAAAGGTGGGGAGAGAGGCATTTAAGGAGCGCTTACTACATGCTCTTGCTGTAGTTTTGGAAAGGCGAAGGGGCGCGGCGTCACCAAGGGTGAAAGGCCCGGAAGAACTGTAATGGAGTCACAATCGGGGTGCCTGGATCTCCCGCTCTGTGGGCCCCAGTCCAACCTCCCCACATCACAGCTGTCAGACAACCCAACTCCGTCTTAACAAATATTTACGCGCGGTGGCACTAAGCCATTGAGCGGGGCAAGGTGAGCTAGGGCAGAAGAGGAGGAGGAGAGGAGAGTCCTGAGCAGCCCCCCGGGACGGTCCGTTCCCCTCCCCGCCTGGAGCCTCCCCTCGGAAAAACGGGAAGATCTCCACTGTTGCAGCCAGGTCGGGGTCCACGGGGGGAGGGGGACGGCGAAACGTGCAGGACACTGGCATCCTGGCCTCTCCGGGGCCACTGGGCAACTGGAAGAACCGGACTTCGGCATGGCAGGCACCCAGCGCCCAGAAGGAGGCGGCGGGGGACGGCCAGGGATGGAAGCTAGAGAGGGGTGGCTCGGGAGCAGGGTCGCAGGGCGCGGGCAAGGGAGGAATTGCGGGCGGACCTCGAAGTCCCGGTCACCCCGCGCGCTCCACGAGCAGGACCGGACCCCGTAGCCGGGGAGGGAGTCAGACCTGCGACCCCCGGGCCCATGGCCTCAGTGTGCCCGTTGGCGAAACGGGCTAGCGCCGACGGCTCACCTGCAGCCAGATACCGCTTCTCCAGCCCGGTCTTGGCCTCCAGCGCCCCCAGCACGTCGGTGACCAGGTTCCTTTGCTCCAGGAAGCGCTCCACGCGCTGGCTCAGGCCGTCCATGGCCCCGACGCGCCCGGGGTTGGCTGCTCGAGCTCGCCCGCGGACCCGCGCACCCACTCCGCTGCACGCGCGCCGCTTTCCCGCAGCCTGAGCCGCGCTGCTCCGGCCCGGCGCCGGTGTCCGCCCCCGGCCCCCCGCCCGGACCAATGGGAGGGCAGGGCGGACAAAGGAGGTGGGGCCTGCCCCGTCTCCCCCGCCGCATAGCCCTCCGCCCGCTGCCGCCGCTGCCCAGACCCCGCCGGGAGAGGGCGGGGCGCGCCGGCCCAGGGCACCGATTGGCCGGGCCAGAGCGAGACGTAGCTGATTGGAAGGGCGGCGTCAGGGGACGGGATTATTGGCTGCGACACTGAGGGGGTGGAGCCAGGGCGAGGAGAGGTGCGGGTGGGGGCGGAGCCGGTGGGTGGGGCTAAAGAAAAATCCGAGCCGATTGGAGAAACGGGACGCGATTCATTGGCGAGAGCAGTGGAGGGCGGGGCTGATCACAAAGGAGGCAGGGCGGAATGGTAGGGGCGGGAACGGGGCGGGGCTTATCGGGGGAGGCGGGATTACTCGAAAGAATGATTCTGATTAGCCCGGATAGGAGGCCGGGCTGATTCTCGAAGGAGGGGTGTGTTGGAAAGTGGGCGAGGCCAAAGAAAGGGTAGGACGCGTTACTGCAACAGTGAACCCGCTTCTCTGGGTTAGTCCTGTCGTTGTACAAATGGGAAAACTGAGGCTCCCGAGGGTGTGGGTCTGCGGGAGACGGGCAGGCGTGCGTCCCTCCCCCGCTTCTGTCAGATCTTCGCGCCCGTCTTGGCTGAGTAGCCGCAAGGCCCCCTGGGAGTCGAAGCCTTCCGCGTTGCTATGGAGCCGGGGGCTGAGAGGACGCCTGGGTCCACTCGGCGGTTTGGCGGGAGGGAGGGGCTTTGCGCAGGCCCCGCCCCCGGCCCCGCCCCGCCTCCATGCGGCCCGCCCCGATTGCGCTGTGGCTGCTCCGGGTCTTGGCCCTGGCCCTCGTCCGCCCCCGGGCTGTGGGGTGGGCCTCGGTCCGAGCCCCCATCTATGTCAGCAGCTGGGCCGTCCGGGTGTCTCAGGGTAACCGGGAGGTCGAGCGCCTGGCACGCAAATTCGGCTTCGTCAACCTGGGGCCGGTGGGTGGGACCGGGATGGACGGGAAGTGGGGGCGTGGAAGGGACTAGAGGACCCTAGACCCCGACAAGTGGGAGGGAGCCCACAAGGTCTCCTAAATATCAAGAGCCTCAGCCCACCCCTGCCTCAGCCAAGTTCAGCTTCTGGGACTCCCAGAGAGCACCTGGTGGGGAAGGACAAGAAAGGGGGCTGTTACCGGCCCTCGGGGGCTCCAGCAGGGGAGCCTGGTCCTATCGGTGCGGCCGCTTCCCCACATCCCCAGATCTTCCCTGATGGGCAGTACTTTCACCTGCGGCACCGGGGCGTGGTCCAGCAGTCCCTGACCCCGCACTGGGGCCACCGCCTGCACCTGAAGAAAGACCCCAAGGTGAGCCTGGCCTGGAGGCCACCCTCTCAGGGTCTCAGCCGCCTCCTGGGGCCACTAGCCATCTTCTGTGGTTCTCGTGGTTGTTATGAACAGCTGTGTGCTTTCTGTGGCTCAGACCCACCTGGACCACAAGTCTGTACAGCAGGAGGAGGGAGGGAGACCCAGATACAGAAATCATGGCGCCTGCCAGGGCCTGGTACACAGTGGTCACCTCTTGCCCTTCCCCTCCCTCCTCTGGGTCCCAGGGGCTCTGGTAAGGAGGAACAGATGGAATGCCTTCCCCACCGTCTAGGTCATAGGATGGAGGGAAGGGGATTTTACAACACAGGAATGGGTTCCAAAGAGTAGGAGCCTTAAAGTCACCCAGTGGCCCTCAGGACGCAGTGTCCGGGTGCTCAGAAAGGGGCCTGGGTCCGATCGGGCTGGGCCCTGTCTAGAAAATGCCTGAGATGTCAAGCTGAGGGGTTGAGATGGAGCCTTGGAAGCCCTCGGAGGCCAGGAAGTGCCTTGAACAGGACTGGACAGCTGCCTGCTTATAGCACTGGGAGGGAAAGCAGTGGCCGGTTCCTGATGTGGTTTGCAAGAGAGAAGCCAGGCCTGGTGTGGTGATTCATGCCTGTAATCCCGGCACTTCAGGAGGCCAAGGCAGGCAGATTATTTGAGCTCAGGAGTTTGAGACCAGCCTGACCAACATGGCGAAACCCCGTCTCTACTAAAAATACAAAAATTAACTGGGCATGGTGGTGTGCGCCTGTAGTCCCAGCTACTTGGGAGGCTGAGGTAGGAGAATCGCTTGAACCCGGGAGGCAGAGGTTGCAGTGAGCCAAGATTGCACCACTGCACTCCAGCCTGGGCGACAGAGCAAGACTCTGTCTCAAAAAAAAAAAAAAAAAAAAAAAAAAAAGGAAGTGATGCAGGAGAGAGAAGGATCTAGAACAGGGATGGGGGAAGGAGTGGAGTGGGGACCTGGGGACCTGCAGTCACCCGGGACAGCGACGATGCGTCTGTGGACCCAAGGACAGGTGGTCCAAAAGCCTCGGTCCCCTCTGACTGCAGACAGAGCCCCAGGTACATGCGGACGCTGGAGAGCAGCCCCCACAAACACGGGGCCCCAGGGCATGGGGCTGCCTCACTCCCTGAACCACGAGGGGCCCCAGGAGCGAGCAGCGGACAGGCCTGACCCACCTTCCGCTCTGCAGGTGCAGTGGTTCCAGCAGCAGACGCTACGGCGGCGGGTGAAACGCTCTGTGGTGGTACCCACAGACCCCTGGTTCTCCAAGCAGTGGTACATGGTGAGCGGGCAGCCAGGGTGGGTGGGTGGGGACAGGGCCACTAGCGCCCTCGACCCCAGGCCCTCACAGGGTCACCACCCTGCCTCCCCCTGCAGAACAGCGAGGCCCAACCAGACCTGAGTGTCCTGCAGGCCTGGGGCCAGGGGCTGTCAGGCCAGGGCATTGTGGTCTCTGTGCTGGACGATGGCATCGAGAAGGACCACCCGGACCTCTGGGCCAACTACGTGAGACCGCGGGTGGCTGGGGGCGAGGGCTGCCCCAGGTGCCGAGACCGGCTTCACCCAAGGACGCCTCCCAGCCCCCTCGTATCCCCACCTGTCCCCAGGACCCCCTGGCCAGCTACGACTTTAATGACTACGACCCAGACCCCCAGCCCCGCTACACCCCCAGCGACGAGAACCGGTGAGCAGGGCTCCCACAGCACATGGGGGAAGCCCCAGTACCTGGCAGGGGGATGGAGGCCGTGACGGGAGCCCTTCTTGGCCCTGGCACCAGGCACGGGACCCGCTGTGCTGGGGAGGTGGCCGCGATGGCCGACAATGGCTTCTGTGGTGTGGGGGTCGCTTTCAACGCCCGAATTGGAGGTACCCAGGGTCCCCCAGCGGCACCATTGGGGGACAGAGAGGGAAGGGGGTGATGCTGGCGGAGAGCTGGGCCCGCAGACCAGGGAAGGAGGACTCGGGAGCCCCCCCGTCACTGCTGGGTGGTGCTAGGGCCCCAGACTCTGGGGCTCAGGGGGTGCTGAGCCAATACGGATGGTCCACTCCAGGGAGCAGAGAGAGGGCCCGGGTGGGGCTGGGGAGTGGCGCGGGGTGGGGCTGGGGAGTGGTGTGGAGTGGCGCGGGTGGGGCTGGGGAGTGGCGTGGAATGGCGCGGGTGGGGCTGGGGAGTGGCGTGGAGTGGCGCGGGTGGGGCTGGGGAGTGGTGTGGAGTGGCCCGGGTGGGGCTGGGGAGTGGCGCAGGGTGGCGCAGGGTGGGCTGGGGTGTGGGGAAGGGCAGGGCTGGTGGCAGCGGCCCTCCCACCCTGGCTCTGCAGGCGTGCGGATGCTGGACGGTACCATCACCGATGTCATCGAGGCCCAGTCGCTGAGCCTGCAGCCACAGCACATCCACATTTACAGCGCCAGCTGGGGCCCCGAGGATGACGGCCGCACGGTGGACGGCCCCGGCATCCTCACCCGCGAGGCCTTCCGGCGTGGCGTGACCAAGGTGAGTGGGAGCCCAAGGAGGGCCAGGGTGGCAGGCCAGGCCGACGCCCCCTCCCCGCCCCTCCTGGTTTCCCAGGGCCGCGGCGGGCTGGGCACGCTCTTCATCTGGGCCTCGGGCAACGGCGGCCTGCACTACGACGACTGCAACTGCGACGGCTACACCAACAGCATCCACACGCTCTCCGTGGGCAGCACCACCCAGCAGGGCCGCGTGCCCTGGTACAGCGAAGCCTGCGCCTCCACCCTCACCACCACCTACAGCAGCGGCGTGGCCACCGACCCCCAGATCGTGAGTGCAGCTGCCTCAACAGGGTCCCCTCCCCAGGCCCTGCCATCCCAGCCTGGCCTCCTCACCTCCCTCCTGCCCCACCGCTGTGACTTAGCACCCTCCCAAAGCTGCTTTGAAAATGCAAATCCAGGCCGGGCACAGTGGCTCACGCCTGTAATCCCAGCACTTTGGGAGGCCGAGGCGGGCGGATCACGAGGTCAGGAGATCGAGACCATCCTGGCTAACACGGTGAAATCCCGTCTCTACTAAATATACAAAAAATTAGCCAGGCATGGTGGCGGGCGCCTGTAGTCCCAGCTACTCGGGAGGCTGAGGCAGGAGAATGGCATGAACCCGGGAGGTGGAGCTTGCTGTGAGCTGAGATCGGGCCGCTGCACTCCAGCCTGGGTGACAGAACGAGTTTCCATCTCATAAATAAATAAATAAATAACCCAAATCCAGGCTGAGCACAGTGGCTCGCGCCTGTAATCCCATCACTTTGGCAGGCCAAGGTGGGTGGATCACCTGAGGTCAGGAGTTCAGGACCAACCTAGCCAACATGGCAAAACCTCATCTCTACTAAAAATACAAAAAAAAAAAAAAAATTATCCACGCATGGTGGCACGCGCCTGTAATCCCAGCTACTCAGAAGGCTGAGGCAGGAGAACTGCTTGAACCCAGGAGACAGAGGTTGCAGGGAGCCGAGACTGCACCACTGCACTCTATTTTAGGCCACAGAGCGAGACCCTGTCTCAACAAAAAACAAAACAAAACAAAAACAAATCCAGATGGGTGCAACAGCTCACTTTGGGAGGCCAAAGTGGGAGAATCACTTTAGCCCAGGGTTTCTTTTCATTTATTTGTTTTTGAGATGCAGTCTCACTCTGTTGCCCAGGTTGGAGTGCAGGGGCGTGATCTCGGCTCACTGCAACCTCTACCTCCCGGGTTCAAGCAATTCTCATGCCTCAGCCTCTTGAGTAGCTGCGACTACAGACATG